TCCAGCCTTCCAGCCCAGCCTTCCAGCAGCCTTCCAGCCTTCCAGCCTTCCAGCCTTCCAGCCTTCCAGCCTTCCAGCCTTCCAGCCCTCCAGCCTTCCAGCCTTCCAGCCTTCCAGCCTTCCAGCCTTCCAGCCTTCCAGCCTTCCAGCCTTCCAGCCTTCCAGCCTTCCAGCCCTCCAGCCTTCCAGCCCTCCAGCCCTCCAGCCCTCCAGCCCTCCAGCCTTCCAGCCTTCCAGCCTTCCACCCTTCCACCCTTCCAGCCTTCCAGCCTTCCAGCCCTCCAGCCCTCCAGCCTTCCAGCCTTCCAGCCTTCCAGCCTTCCAGCCTTCCAGCCTTCCAGCCTTCCAGCCTTCCAGCCTTCCAGCCTTCCAGCCTTCCAGCCTTCCAGCCCAGCCTTCCAGCCTTCCAGCCTTCCAGCCTTCCAGCCTTCCAGCCTTCCAGCAGCCTCCAGCCTCTCCAGCCTTCCAGCCTTCCAGCCTTCCAGCCTTCCAGCCTTCCAGCCTTCCAGCCTTCCAGCCCTCCAGCCTTCCAGCCTTCCAGCCTTCCAACCCTCCAATGGTTGCGGGCGCGGCATTTACACGGGTTACAGTTCTAAGAGATGTAGAGATTTAGGGATTAGAGGTGCGGGTTTCAGTGTTTAAAGTTTGGGGTCTGGGGTTCAAGCTTCAGAGAGACCTTGTTCAAAAACATGGTTTAGGTTTAGTAGGAATTAGGGTTTTAGGTTTTAGGGGTTTAGGTTGGAATCGCTGGTGGTTTGTTTAATAGAGGGTGCTGTCCTTGCGTTGTCTGGCCTCAAGAATCGTGACATTAATCTCGAGACCTCTTCGGTCCTTCGAACTTTGAAGCCCAGATCGGCACTTTACTGTCGTTCCGACGCTTCGGGACGGTTCCGGACGGTTTGGGGCTGTTTCTGAACAGGGTTCTAACAGTTCCTGAGATTCGTGCCTCTGGACTTGTTCGAAAAGAGCGATTCCTGTTCTAGGCCGAGAGCGGCAGTGGGAAGGAATCAGCTCATGCTCCTGTCCTAGGCCCGGCGCGGCAGTTGGAAGGAGTGGGAGGGGCAGGCGGAGGGCTGGCGCGCGGCTAGGGGCTTGGATCTGAGAGGCTGGCTGGGAAATTGGAAGGCTGGAGGTGAGGGCTGGAAGGCTGGAGGGCTGAGGGCAGAAGGCGGAGGGCTGCAAGGCTGTGAATGGAGGGCTGCTGGAAGGCTGGAAGGCTGGAGGGCTGGCTGGAAGGCTGGAAGGCTGGAAGGCTGAGGGAGGGCTGGAAGGCTGGAAGGCTGAGGGAGGGCTGGAAGGCTGGAGGGCTGGAAGGCTGGAAGGCTGGAAGGCTGGAAGGCTGGAGGGAGGGCTGGAAGGCTGGAAGGCTGGAGGGCTGGGCTGGAGGCTGGAAGGCTGGAAGGCTGGAGGGCTGGGAAGGCTGGAAGGCTGGAGGGCTGGAGGGTTGGAAGGCTGGCTGGAGGGCTGGAGAAATGGAAGGCTGAAGGCTGGCGGAGGGCTGGAAGGCTGGAAGGCTGGAGGGCTGGAAGGCTGGAGGGCTGGAGGGTTGGAAGGCTGGAATGGAACTGGAGGGCTGGAGGGCTTGGAGGGCGCTGGAAGGCTGGAAGGCTGGAAGGCTGGAGGGCTGGAGGGCTGGGCGGCGGACTGGAAGGCTGGAGGGTGGAAGGGGAAGGCTAGAAGGCTGGAGGGCTGGGGGGAAGGCTGGAAGGCTTGAGCACTGGCTCGGTTTGGCTTGAACCTAAAGGTTTGGCTTCTGCCTGAAGCCTAAACCCTTAAACCCTAAACCCCAAAATCCTAAACCCCAAACCCACCAATCATCTGCCAATCTCCGGATATTTTATTTCGAGGCGGGCCCGGGCGATGTTTCACGGAGGTAGTGTAATATACCTGTTTAACCTGTTTAAATATCCGTATATTTAAAGACAGACGCCGTAAAAAGAGAGAAGTTCGTGTTGTCCGTGCTACTGCGTGAAGCCAGTTAGCTAAAGCTAGGCTTGCTACGCACTCCCCGGAGGTGTTGAGGGAGGTGGCGGGAGGATACGCTAGCTAGTGTACGCACTCGTGCCGAGGTACGAGGTACGACAGTGTATGCTAGCGCTAGTATCCCTGTGTGAAACATCGAAGGTGTTTCGCTAGAAAACGTCGAAGGGGTTTTCCTCTGAAGCTAAACAGAACGAACCCAGTCTGTTTGCTAGAGTGTCTGCACATGGCCGGTGGAACGTGAGCTACTCCGTGGCCATTGTGCTGAAAGGCCCCTGCTATTGGGGGGCAAATTTCGAGTGCCCACCCAACCCACCCTGGAGATTAGCTAGCCGAAGGCTAGAGTTCTTCTCCGGGCTAACGCGGGACTTCGCCACAACGCTAAAAAGAGAGAAGTTCGTGTTGTCCGTGCTACTGCGTGAAGCCAGTTAGCTAAAGCTAGGCTTGCTACGCACTCCCCGGAGGTGTTGAGGGAGGTGGCGGGAGGATACGCTAGCTAGTGTACTGAGTCGAGACTTGGCAGGCGTGCAAAGAGACTCTTGCAGCCACACGTTGCTTGTGAAAGCATGACCTTCCTAAAGCCTTCAAGAATGACGTGCATTCTTTATGGCTGGGAATCAGGGTCAAGTGTTGCTGCTCGTAAGCTTTTTCGGCCACCTCCACCCCGCCACCGCGGATTTTGTTTAAAGACTTTCAGTGCCTCCATCAGCAAACGAGCTGTTGGTGGCAGATCGCGGCTGCGGCCGCTCTCTCGAGTTGTTGAGTCGAGACTCGGCAGGCGTGCAGAGAGACTCTTGCAGCCACACGTTGCTTGTGAAAGCATGACCTTTCTAAAGCCTTCAAGAATGCATTTGGGCTCGGTTTGAAGCTTCCGGAGGTGAATTACAGCCCGGGACTGGGACCAGGAGGGGCATGAGCAAGGCTGAGAAAGCTGTAATGCGGTTTTCAAGGCTTGGACAATGCATTTGGGGCCGTTGGATACCAAAGTAAAGCGTCTGCAGCAGGATTTTCGGGTTTAGCGAGGGCATGGAGGTTGAGCACTGCTGCAACGCAGGCCAAATGCGTTTAGCAAGCCTCTGGAAATGCATTTGGGCTCGGTCTGAAGCTTCGGAGGTGAATTACAGCCCGGGACTGGGGGCAGGAGGGGCATTAGCGAGGCTGAGAAAGCTGCAAAATGCGCTTATCAAGGCTTGGACCATGGTTTTGGGGCCGTTGGATACCAAAGTAAAGCAAGCGTGTGCAGCAGGATTTGCGGGTTTAGCGACGGCATGGAGGTTCAGCACTGCTGCAACGCAGGCCAAATGTGTTTAGCAAGCCTCGGGAAATGCATTTGAGCTCGGTCTGAAGCTTAGGAGCTGAATTACAGCCCGGCTGAGAAAGCTGTAAAGTGCGGTTTTCAAGGCTTGGACAATGCATTTGGGGCTGTTGGAGACCAAAGTAAAGCGTGTGCAGCAGGATTTTCGGGTTTAGCGACGGCATTGAGGTTGAGCACTGCTGCAACGCAGGCCAAATGCGTTTACCAGGCCTCGGGAAATGCATTTGGGCTCGGTTTGAAGCTTCCGGAGGTGAAATACAGCCCGGGACTGGGACCAGGAAGAGCATTAGCAAGGCTAAGAAAGCTGTAAAATGTGGTTTCAAGGCTTGGACAATGCATTTGGGGCTGCTGGATACCAAGCTAAAGCGTGTGCAGCATTATTTTCGGGTTTAGCGACGGCATGGAGGTTGAGCACTGCTGCAATGCAGGCCAAGTGCGTTTAGCAGGCCTCGCGAAATTCATTCGGGCTCGGTTTGAAGCTTTGGAGCTGAATTACAGCCCGGGAGTGGGAGCAGGAGGGGCATTAGCAAGGCTGAGAAAGCTGTAAAATGCGGTTTTCAAATCTCGGACCTCTTGTATTGGGGCTGTTGGAGACGAAAGTAAAGCATGTGCAGCAGGATTTTCGGTACCGCTCCAGAACCTGCCGGAACTTGCGCCGGAAGTTGTCCCTCAACATCACCGGAACTTGCTTCGGAACCTCACCGGAACCTGCCCCGGAACCGCTCCGGAACCTGCCGGAACCTGCCGGAACTTGCCCCGGAACTTGCCCCGCAACATCACCGGAACTTGCTTCGGAACCTCGCCGGAACCTTCCCGGAACCTGCCGGAACCTGCCGGAACTTGCCGGAACCTGCCCCGGAACTTGCCCCGCAACATCACCGGAACCTGCTTCGGAACCTCACCGGAACCTGCCGGAACCTGCCCCGAACTTCCCCCGCAACATCACCGGAACCTGAAGCATGCCCCGGAACCGCTCCGGAACCTGGCCGGAAGCTGTACCGGAACTTGCCCCCAACAGCACCCCTGCTTCGGAACCTCACCGGAACCTGCCGGAACCTGCCCCGAACCGCTCCGGAACCTGCCGGAACCTGCCCCGGCCTTCCCCCGCAACATGCCGGAACTTGCTTCGGAACCTCCCCGGAACCTTCACCCGAACCTGCTTCGGAACCTGGCCGGAACCTGCACGGAACCTCCCCGGAACCTGCCGGAACCTGCCCCGGAACTTGCCCCAAGCCTCGCCCCAATCTGTCCCAAACCTTATTTCGGCTAAAGACCCCAGAGCTTAGGCTGTTGGGGAGAAAGGCCAGCTCCAAAAACTATATAAGAGCATGGCTTCTGAGGTGGATGTTGCTGATGTTGCATCGAAACAGAACTGAAGAATTGTATAAGAGCCTATGGCTCCTGAGGCTAGTATGTTGTGTCAGCAAAGTCATGACTGCTAATAAGAGCTGGTAGCTCCTACTATTCACTATTCAATGAAAAGCATCGACGATGACTTCGGAATAAGAGCCCACGGCTCCTGGCTATGACACATGCGATTCGAGCAGGAACATGCACGCAGCTGTGGCATTCACGCTTGTGCCGCCACATCTTTCAGCTCGAGTCTTTGTCTTTAAACCTGATTCCTGAATCCTCGGATGTTAGGGCGATGACGCTTTCATAAAGCTCTCGACGCGATCAGCCCTTGAGGGGCGGATTTTCCTTCATGGAGGCGCGAGAGGCCGTTCCCCGGGGTTTCAAAAGGACCATCCTAGATAACGGCCACGAAGAGAAAGATTGGAATGCTTCGGCTTGCGAGCCTGATGTCGATTCCTGTTTCAAGAAAGTGATGAATTGTGGCCGAGCCCAAGACGAGGAACGGATTGAAGCCTGTGTCCAAGGCGTGCTTGGGGCTGGGAGGCTCGTGCGGTTTGATGTGTATGATCATTCAAACAATCCTCAGGGATCCGCCGCAGTAGAGGTTTTAGAATCTGTTCCTTGCAGTGACGGTTTTGGCGCGTTTACGGTGAAGCATTTGGCCGCAAGCGATGCGGGTTATCACCATTGGGCAAAATCAGCCCTTGCGGATCCTACCAAGAGTGTTTTCCATTTGTGCGGTTGCAACGCCTGGGAGTGCGGTTGGAACAAGCGGAATCGAAAGGTAACGCACATATCAAAATGGAGACTTTCATCATTGAGCGAGTTGGCCGTGGAACCTTGGGCTAGTGCCACGGCTTTTGCTGCTTTGCGAGAGAAGGTACGCTTGGCCCCAAAAATCCACTTGAGAAAGGTGGGAAAGCAGCCTTTGGCCCCGAAGGGCGCGGGCACTCAGGAGGAGCCCCCCATCGACGTTGAGAACGAGGAGAGCGCCGAGCGTCAAGGTCAAAAGATTCGTGAGGCGCTTAGGACTGGAAAGCCAGGTCTCCTTGATGCCGCGGGGTTGGGTGGGGTAGACGGCTTGCCCTCACCCCGTGATGATGCGGCTGTTGGCGAGCCCCGAGGCGGAGGCATCCATGAGCATAAGCGCCACGAAACACATCAGTCACCAACTGTCCCGAAACGTCGGCGTGTTGACAAGGCCCTGGTAGAGGCTACTGGTAAAGATGGCGACCATCATGATCCAGGCAGTTTCTTGCACGATATCTCGAGTGACGATGCGGACCGAGGAAGGACGAACAAGAAGAACAAGAAGAAGAAAACATCGGGACGAAAGCGCAAACGTTCTTCGAGTGATAGTTCTTCCACGTCCTCGCGGTCAGGTTCGCCCTTGAGGATTGCGGGGCGTGCCGATGCGGAGCCTTTGGCCGAAAGTTCCAAAAGGGATCCGGGAACGTTGCTCAAATCGGGATTGGAGGAGATGCGGCGGTATTTGCTCGACAAACCGGGCGGCGGAGCTGCTGTGAGCGACACCGCCGAGGGCTGGCGTGGGACAAAGGTTGGGGCTTATGTTAGCCAGGTGCTCTTTGCCAACCACCCGCCGGAGGTTTGCGTAACGCCCGTGAGATTGTCACACTATCCACCTCTTTGGATCTACTCCTTTCCGGGCAATTTGCAAGGTTGGGAGATGTCCTCATGCAAAGATTGAAAGCCGTGGAATCATCATTGACAGACGGTTGGGGTGTGGCGAAGCATTACGAGTTGATTCCGCCGTCCAAGCCCGCAATCACCGCCGACAAGGAGCGGGACTTCGCAGCAAAGGCAGCTTTGCGTGCCGCAAAGCTAAAAGAGTCGTTGCAGAAGGCTCACAAAGGCCCTGGCTCGGGCTAGGAAGCAGGCGGCCGGCCATCACCCAAGTCGGGGGGTATGCCGGTGACGCCCAAACTTTACAACCCGATGTCATCTACGGTACAGAATCCGTCGACCGAGCCTGCAAAAGTCGAACTTCCTACGCCTTTTCCTCCCAAACTTCCGGGTGTAGGGGAGGCTCGTCCTCCAGAGGAGGCCACCGTACTAGAAGTCGAAGTTTGGAAGCGGAAACTGCCACTGCAGCGGAGGGCCGCGAACGCAAAGCAGCACCAGCGCTTTCTGCAGCAGGGCTGGGCGCGGCGTGTGCGCCCACAACCTCCAGTGGAGGACTCTTATCGTGGAGGAGATCGCCGCTCAGAAGAGCATGCAAAAGGATCAAAAGGCAAAGGCGGACGAGGCTTTCACCAAAAGGGGGATGGCAAGCATGGTCACAAGTGAGATCGGCTGATGCTGGATTGAGGGCCTGGGTGCGCTCTCAGATTGCTCCTAGGCGCTCAGCTGCACAGTTGGGCATTTTGCTCTTGAAGTGGTTTTTACATGACCAAGTGGCTTTCGCTTCAGGGATTCTTTCACTGAGCCTTCCGGCAGAAGTGGGCGAAACCGGGATGTTTTGCCCTTGCCTTGTCAAAGCGTGTCTCGTTCAGTTGCGACGGCTGTGTCCAGCATGGATAGGGCGCCCTGCCCGAACCAGGAAGGCCACTCAGCCCGGACAAAACAACGGCACCTGGTGACTTTGGGGAGGCAGGCCTGGACGGTCTGCCAAACCATGTCCCTGAACATGGCATGGGGCAAAGAGCTCGTCGTGTGTGCAGAGCCTTCAGTTTCTCAGAGTCAGGCACTTGAACACCTTGCAGAGAAAAGTTCGCGGTTCGTGCAGACTACAAATGAGTCGGGACTAGCTGTTCGTTGCCAGGTGTCTGATTGGAATCATAAACTGGAGAGTGTCAGTGTTGGTTATGCAGGAGAGGTCGTTGAAAAGGCTCAGTGGTTAACCTTGGAACAGATGTTGCCTGGTTTGCCCCCAGAAGGCAAGTCAGCTTGCATTGAGCTGTCTGAATTGTGCAGTGGTGATGTGCGAAAGTGTCTGGAAGATCCTTCGCTTGTGCTAAAGCAACAGGATCTTTCTGATAGCCTGCCGAAAGCTAGGGTGCTGTGCACCGACAGTGAGTGGGCAAAAACCGCAAAGGAGCTAGTGCGGAAAGGCTTGGCACGGCCGCTAAAGAGGGAGGAAGTACATCACATCAATGGAAGGCCCTTGTTGAATGGAGCGTTTGGCGTAAGCAAAAGTGGCAAGTTCTGTCAGGATGGCCGGCCCGTCCTCAGATTTATCATGGATTTGCGCCCATCAAACCACCTTCAAGCACCCATTGTAGGCGATATCAGCACCTGGAGTGGGCCCGGAAAGTGGGTGAATTTGGTGCTCCCGAAAGGGCAAGTTCTGCGCATTAGTGGGGATGATCTCACTGCAGCATTTTACTTGTTTCGCCTACCGTCAAGCTGGCATTCCTTGTTTGCGTTTGAAAAGATGCTGAGGCATTGTGATCTCTTCGAAGATTCTGATGACCAGTCCGACGTTTATCTGGCGGCCACAGTCATGCCAATGGGATGGCTATCTGCTGTGGGGATTCTGCAGCACGCTCATAGAAGATTAGCCACCCTGGTAGACGGTGAAGGTTTGCCTTTGTTGGCGGAGATTCGCCGTGATGCACCTCTCCCGAAAGTAAGTATTGACGCATTCCAAGAGCTGTGGCATTTGTGTTTGGATGATTCAACATTCTTGGAGTGGGTGGACGAACAGTCTGCTCAGCGGGAAGACATGCACGATACCCAATCGCCATTTCAGCGAGTTTTGCAACGTATATATGGTAGCTGGGGAATACCTTGGTCAGAAAACAAAAGTGTCAGGCGCCAGCAGCTTGCAACACGCCTTGGCGTGGAGCTCGACGGAGACAGAGGACTTTTGGGAGTGCATCTTGAGAAGCGGCTGGAAGTCTTTGAGCTAGCCTTCTTTTTGTTGAGCCAGGAACAGCTTACACGCAAGAGCATCCAAATTTTTCTTGGCAAAGTGGTGCACATCATGCAGGTTAGACGACCAGCTTTCTCTTTTGTGCAGTTTTTGTGGCGAAGGGTGCTAGGACCTCCAGTTGCGGGCCCGCTCTCGGCACTAGAACGACGTGAAGTGTTAGCAGTACTTGGAGCTTTGCCTCTCTTGGAAACCAGCCTTCGGGCCACTGCAAGTGATGCTTCAGAGACTGGCGGGGGCGTGTGCGAAGGTGAAAAGATGACTGCTGTGGGGCACTACGTCGCGGCGTTGGAGACCCTACAGGCAACTTCGGTGCCGCACTGTCTCAGCAGCAGTAAAGCCATATTGCTGTTTGACTGGTTCGGGAACATTGGGGGTGTTCGGCAGGCGTTGGATTTGTTGCATGTGCCCGTAGTCAAAGGAGTACTGTGTGAGTCTGACAGCCACAACGCAGCGGTTTACCGCAAACGCTGGGGCATTGATGTGCTCTGGAAGAAGCTAGAAGACATCACCATGGAACATATTCGACAGATCTTACGAGAGCTGCCTCAAACATCTTTCGTGTTGCAAGTGGCCAGTTGGAGTGAGACGGATCACAGCAGTCTCTCGAGCCTGGTGAGAGCACAAGCATACGTTCAATCGTGCTGCAGAGAACTAGGTGTCCAGCATTTTGGTCTGCTTGAAGTTCCTGCAACAGCAAGTGTCGACACCGCGTTCTTCGTAAGTGAATGGTCCCACCACTTGTGCTGCAGCTCAGGATGCTCGCGGGTGCGGGAGCAAAAATCGTACTGGACGAGCTCCTCCTTGGCCGTGGACACAGGAGTCAGTCTACAGAAAAGCCTAAACAGCAATATTCTGCATATTAACGCTCCAGCAGAGCCCAGCATGTCTTGGCTCCCTTCGCCTTGGGTGTGGCCGGGAGGATACGCAGATCCGACATTGAGATTTCCTAGCTTTTGCAAGCATCGTTCGGAAGATATTCGTGAGGACCTGTTACTCGTTAGCGGAAGTAGTCGCAGATCCTTGTGTGTGCTGCTGAGCGCGAGATTCTTTTGGGCTTTCCTAAAAGTCACACTCGGAGTGTCCTGAAACAGTTCCCTGGCATGGCGGGGGAAAACATGAGACTCGCTCTGGTCGCTCGTGCTTCACATGCAGTCGTACTAGCAAACATATTGCGCATGGGCCTGAAACAGTTGGGCTGGGAGTCCCCGTTGCCTCTAGCGGCTGACGTTGCCAAAGAAAGAGCCTTATCTCTCATTCAGTGGCCCTGTGAAAAACCCCATCTGGCCCAGGTGCGGGGATTCAGTATGACACGTTGGCCGAGACAGAAGCTAAAGTACGCCATGCCATTTCCGAGAAAGAAGTCGTGTTGGAAGTCCAAGACCACAGGTCCCTGGACACCTTGCATTCACAAGCCTCTTTGCCGCATTTGTTCTTGCGCAGAGCTGAGTATAGAGGTTCAGATGTGCGACTTGATACTGGCATGCTTCTGCGACCGGAAAAGGCTCCTCGCATAACCATCAATCCTCACCTCTGGGTTTGGAGCTCCAAGCTTGCTTGGAGATGGCAGCACCCTGCTCATATAAATTTACTGGAGATGCGGGCATGTCTTCGGTCTTTCATGTGGCGCTCTCGATCCAAGCACTTTTACAAAGCTCGAATCATGCACTTGCTCGACTCCCAAGTTTGCTTGGCAGTTTTGGTCAAAGGACGTTCTAGCTCAGTTCAGCTCAACGCATTATTGCGTCGATTTGCAGCTCTTGTACTTGCCTGTGACGTTTTGCCGCTGTTTGCCTACATCAAGAGTGAGTTTAACCCTGCAGATAGACCCTCTCGTCATGCCAGCTCGAGCATGCACGGTCACGGGAGCCGACAGGTGCAGGCGCAAGCATCTTCGTAGCAAGCTGGGATGCTTGAAAGATAATTTGGTCAAACCTGCCACACGTCAGCGGTATGCCAAGAATTTTCAGTTGTTTGTCTTGTTCCTGCATCAAAGCTTGGGCTATTTGCCTACCATTCCGGCAGATTACGATATGTTCATTGCCCTTTTGCACCGAACCAGAACCACAAGGTTTAGATCCACAGGGCTTTTTCGACAGAGTTGGCTTTTAAAGACTTTTGAAAACTTTAAAGTACAAAAAACAATTTTTAAAGACTTTTATAAACTTTTAAGAACTTTGAAAAACTTTTTAAAAACTTTAAAAAAAGACTTTTAAAAGCTTTAAAAAACTTTTTAAAAACTTTAAAAGAGCTTTAAAAGTTTTGAAAGACCTTTAAAAACTTTAAAAGACTTTTAACAACTTTAAAAGACTTTTAAAAGCTTTAAAAGACTTTTAAAAGCTGTAAAAGACTTTTAAAGACTTCAAAAGACCTTTAAAAAACTTTAAAAGACTTTTAAAAACTTTAAAAAGACTTTTAAAAACTGTAAAAGACCAAAAATAGCCTTTTCTTACAATTTTCAATTTTTCCAAGAAGACGAAGATGAAGAAGACCTGGCACAGGGTTTAAAGTTTCAGGGTCTTTAGGGTTTGGGGTTACAAGGCAGAGTGCCATAGTAGAAGGGTTTGAGGGTAATGAGAGGGTTAGGGTTAGAGTTTCAGGGTTTTAGGGTTTAGGTTAGAAGGCAGAGTGCCATGGTATAGGGTTTAAGGGTAATGGATGAAAGGCAAAGTGCCAAAGTCTTCAAAATGGATGGGCCTCAGTTTTGGTAGTTATCTTGGAATGATCGTGGCTTGGCTTCGGGTTTTTGGTCGTGCCCAAACACGGCTAAACAGCTCCAGGTACTCCCACACCCTCGTACTGTACCACTACTGTACTACTACTGTACAGCTACTTTAATACTACTGTACTACCACTTTACTACTACCCTCTTACAAGTATACTTCTGTGCCACTATTGCACCGCTATTGTACTACGACGGTACTACTATTGTACTACTGTACTACTACTGCATCGCTACCGTGCTAGTACTTGTACTACCACTGCACGACACACCACTGCACCGCACCAGGCCTCAGACGTGGTCGATTGTGGAGGGGAGTGTAGGTTGGAGGCAAAAGTCTTCAGAGTGAAAGGTTTGCAGTTTTGATAGTTCTCGTGGAGTGACCGTGGCTTGGCTTCGACTTTTGGTCGTCCCCAAACCTCGCTAGACAGCTCCAAGTACCCCTAAACCCTCGTAGTGCATTGTAACTACTACTGTACGACTGTCGTACTACTGTACTACTACTGCACCGTACCAGGCCTCAGACGTGGTCGATTGTGGAGGGGAGTGTAGGTTGGAGGCAAAAGTCTTAAACATGAAAGGGTTTTAGTGTTGGCAGTATCTTGGAGTGATCGGGGTTTTTGGTTGCCAGCCTTTGGTGATCCCTAAAACCGTTAAACAGCTTCAAGTACACTCAAAACCCTCGTACCGTACTACTACTGTA